GAAGTGGCGATGACCGTGGTGACGGGGATAGGGTAGGGAAGTTGGGAAGCTTGCAGTGCTGTTTTTAGGTTTTGCATGGCGGGGAAGACGAAGTTTTGCATGGAGCTAGGGATGACCTCGTTGCCGGCGGTTATGTAGCGGAATTTCACGGTGTTGGCGTGCGGGATTACGTTGGATTGGACCCATCGGAAGGCGAATGAGACGTCGGCGGATAGGGGTTGGAGATCTTGGTTTAGGGTTCCAACAACTACTTCAATTCCTGTGTTGTGTAAGGCTTGGAGGACTTGTTCATTGGGTTCGAATATCCGTATTCTTGAGATGTTTTTGGATTTTAGGAAGGAAATGGTCGTACTTGGAGGTGGGAGATTGTCCCCAAGCAGTCCGTAGTTCACTCCTATGCCTCCAGCTTCTAGAAAAATATAAAAAAAATATATAAAAAAAATTTGCGTTAGTTAAAAAACTAAAAAATAGAGAATAATTAATATTTGATTAAACTTCACAAATATTAAGGAGCACAAAATTGGAGAGTAATTATTAGAAGATTTTGTGTATTACCAGTTAAGACATTGAAGTGGGACATTAGCAGACTCAAGGTAGCTATGCAAGAGAAAAGAACGCCCGGAGAAGGATAAGAATTACAAGCTAATTTTCTCATCTTTCTTCTCTGTGAATTGCTTACCAAAATTGATGTTATCTGTGACAATAAAGAAGAATATTATATGTGAGGAATACAAAAATTGTACTAAGAGACTGATGATGAGTAAAAGACAAAATTACTTATAGTAGAAAAATAAATAAAAATAAAGGGCAAAAAAAAAAAAAACAAAGAAGAAATGATATAGACGATGGGATCGATGACGATGACGATAAGAAAATGACTCTGGGAGAATGGTGCTTTGGCTTTACCTATGTTGGCTGATTGCAGTGAGAAAACAGAAAATATTGAGAGGATTTATATATAGATAGCCGATCCTTAAATTATGCAAACACAAAAGGTATAATTTGTACGAAGGTATAATTTGTACGTAGAAATATTCAAGATTATAAGGAGATGAAGCTTATAAGACGAGATTGGTCAGACGTAAATTATGAGGGTTTTTCTAGGGGGAGAAGAAGTAATTTGTAAATTTCCTCTGTTGGATGATCTTGATTTGGAGAATATTCTAATAATAAATACGGCTAATTTGGACTCGCATGATATGTATCCTATTATCCTTTAATTACATTCTTGGGCATATTAATTAGCATAGATTTAGTACTGGTTATCTAGTAAGAAAATTTTTCTATGGATAATTTTTTCGGATTGCGTGGTAATCTTCTATATTTTTCGACATTTATAAAGGTAAATTAGGGTGATACTGGAAAAAAATTACTTCCTTTAATTTGTGTTTACTTTTTTTTTAGGGAAAAATTGCATTTCATTAATTTGCTGTCTATTTGATTTCCAGGATAATGCATATTATTCTGAGTGATGGTCACGCAAGATATATATAATGTTTCCTTAATTCCTTTTTTTTGGGAGCACATTTAGCCGGCCGATTTTAGTGGTTATATACATGTGATCATCTAGAACTCACGACATATTGGATGATTTATTTTTGAGTTTTAGGGGAAAATCTTCTTTATTTTGACACAAATTCTGATTTCATAAAGTCAAAATATTATGACCAATATATATATATATATATAATCAATAGTATTCTACCGTGATTTTAGAAATTTCCCCTTTTTTCGAAAGACTTTTCTGTTTTTGATTTGTACGATCTCTATATGCACACAACAGATAAAATATTCTCTAAGAGTATTACATAGATGGCAAAGCGTAAAATAAAGATGATTGTCCAAACTCCAAAGAATATTAACTAAAATAAAATAAAATAAAAAAGCGTAAAAGAAATTAGAGATAAGAAATTTTTTTTAATTCAGTTTTTGTATGAAAAGATCGAGAGGTTTCTAGTTTAAGTCTTTACAGCTAATAAATCTGTTCTCCCCTAGCCCTGTAAGAAATTTCTTCCAACTACATAAATCCAAAGTATGCAAAAAGAGACTCTGTTATAAGCGTAAAAGAAATATGAGAAAATATTTTTCTACCTGTTAGATTTGTGTTTTTTTTTACGTGCGGATGATTAATTAATTTTCGGATTTAGTAATGTTCAATTAATCGAGCAAGAAAATAAATTGAAAAAAATAGAGAACGCTAGAAATTGGTATCGCGGTTCGGTAACCACCTACATTCACAAGGCCATGTCCAGACATTGAATCATCCACTAATTCTCAACGATTACAAATATCAATCGGACTTATACAAATAAAGAATCTCTTTTTGAATTTGTCGTTGTCGTGTAGAATCAACTAGATGGCCTGAATCAGCGAGCACCACTCGTCTTCAAAACTGCATGGCGAAATCCCTTCGTCGGACAGGTCGCTCTCTCCCGAAAGCTTCAAATTCTTCTCTCGAAGAACGATAAACACTTGAACTCCTTTCAACACCGCAAATGTCTTCTCTAGAAGACTACTACTTCTCCCGAATAATGATAATGAAAACTTCTCAAAACGTTATGCGTCAAACCCAAGAAGCCCACAGAATGAATGATCTTGAGTTCTATTTATAAAACATCTATTCCAAATCTTCAAGTTGGCACAATTCAATTCTATTTCAAATTATCTCCATGTCCACATTATCTTCACGTTGACATTCACCAAATTCAAATCTGCTATTTGAATTCAAATTCACATCTTAAAATCATCTCTAAATAATCTCCACATGCTTTATCAAACAAACTCCACAAGCACATTCTCTTTTTAAATCTTCGAATTCAAATTAGCCACTCATTGATAGATTCAAATTTAACAAGTTTTCAAATCCGATCTTCCGACAAAATATTTTCTCAAATTCAAATTCAGATTATACAGCAAAATCTCCAAATTTGAAACACTTAAATCTCTGTTATAAAATATTTTGATGGACCACACTTTAATGTTTACACACTAAGGTTCCGTTTATTTCGCCGATTCGAATTTAGAATTCGAGTTTTGCTATAGTAAAAGGCTCTCAGAAACAATCACATCTAACTTTTTTACTACAGTAAAAAACTCTCACATATAATCACATCTCAACTTAAATTAAAAACTCAAATCAACAAACTGAACAGGCCCTTGATCTTCCACGGCTGACAACCTATAGAATTTGAAATTTAATTTTGCTCCAAACCATATTCGGATTATGCATTGCAATATCAAATCCGAATTGACTTGATCTCCACGCAAAATATCTTTCTCGTTAAAATTTGAATTCAACCACGTTCTGGAAACTTTATCCTCTACGTTAGAGCTTCTCAAAACCAGATAAACAACATCTTACAATCTCCACGAAATCTTATTCATCTCTACTCGAATTATTACACAAAATGTGCACCTAGTCCGGATAGAATCTCGCCACAACTTCAAATAAAAATCTAGTTCAAAATCTCCCCACAATCTTTTTGATCCTCATCTCTCACTATTAAGATCTTCTAAATCTGCTCCAATTCGAACCTGCATCAACCTCTCCGATTCTTCAACTTGAGATCTGTTTCTGAATGTTTACAACCAGTTGTCAATAAATTACCAACTAATAAAACTCTTAACATTACCAATACAAAAGTACGCAAAAATATTTATTGAAGGGATGCCAAACTACTTTAAAAGTCCTTGTGTACCATCCCAAAGAGAAGTCGTTGGGAAAGGCTTCAATAAATTTCAAGTTTTGCTTGAAACTGATAATTGCTTTTCAAAAGGCTAAATGTTGTTATCTTTCAGTATCGTCGCAGTTACATTATAATGAGGTGATGAGTTAGTTAATTAAGTTCTACTAGATACCAAGGTGATCCTATAGTTAACCTAAATATGTATAGATCGCCTAAGGCTGTTTGGTTTGGTGGCACCGGGAGTTTGAGTGCAGGGTGGGGGTATGACTTTGAAGGAGGTAAGGGTTCCATTCCGTCTTGTATAATAAATATGTGTGCGTCTATTGACACTCATTTTTCTACTTTACACACGCATTCTTAAATCACTCCTTATTCTACATGTTACACTTCTCTTAAAATTTCAAAAAAATCCCAGAACTAAATCTTTAAATTCTACTTTTTACATACACATTCTTAAACCACCCATATTCTACTTGTTACACCATTTTAAATACTTTAAAAAACAAACCCTTACAACTAAATTAGTAAATTGTATTTTTTTTTTCATCCATCCACCAAGCAAACTTATCATTTTCTTTCTTTTATGTCAATTTTGTACTTCAAGACCAGAAAACATTCAACTAATAGGTAGCTCCTAAAAGCTTAAACGGTGAATTATGTATTTAGCAGGCATTCAAAGCACAATTCTTCCATTGATGAACTCTTTTTTTTTTTTTTTTTTTGCCCCATTAACTTGTCCTGCTAGTTATAGAGGCTGCAACACAATTTTTTTTTAAAATAAATGAAATCTTTTTGTAGGGATATTTATATCATATTAACAAAACTAATTCAAATATCGAAAGAAATCCTTTCTTTTCACCGGTACATTGAAAGAAAGATTATAGCTATTATATTTTTCAAGCAAAAAAAAATCAACTATAAAAAATACAAAAGGACAAAAAATAAAAGCGTCTAAGAATTCATCACCTATGATTCCGTACAATTTCATGCATAGAGGAATCAGAAAAAGGAAACAATTATAAATATTAAAAACCGAGTTATTTGTGGGTTCGGAAAGGGAAAAAAAAATGCAAATAAGGATGTGAGAAAAGTAGAAAAAGGAGTCACAATAGACTCATTTTTGTTTTTTGTTTTTTTTTTATAGTGCGGTGTGTAATGAGTTTTTTTTAATACTATTATCCTTAAAAAGTGATTTTACTAATGGATATTTTAATAATATTAAAATGGGTATATGAAAAGTAAAAAAAAAAACACTATATCAATAGACGTAGCCAATAAATATATAGATTAGTACTCTTTGATCTAGATTGAAAGTTGTTAAACAAAAAAACTCCATAATTCTTTTTTGTTTATTGGAGATTTCTCTATCAGGTACCCAAAATCAAAAAATAAACTATAAAAAGATTCGATCGTTAAATTTAAATTAGAAATTGTATGTAAAATGTGATTTTGATTATATTCAAGAGTTAATTTTTTTTTATGTAAAATGTGATTTTGGTCATATTCAATAGTTAAAAATTGACTCTCAAAAACTGACTCTACTAATAAGAAAGTCTTCACAATAAAATCCACCTTTTTTCGCTTTGCCAATCTTAAAGCGCGATAATCAACTTCCAAACCAATTTGTTGCTCTTCCTAACTCATGAAAAAGTAAACGTCACGTTGCTTCAGCGCCAGTTAGGTTAAGCATACACATCCATGTGCATCTAGATAACCCATGTTCTTTTGGTACAAAAGGAGATGCAAAGTGTGAAAAGATCCGATAACATAGCTTTATATTATGTTTGTCCGTTTTAGAGTGTCTTCAAATGGTGATTTGCCCCCATTTATACAAAAAATAGATATTTATGCAGCTTGGGTCCGCAAGCCATTAATCTTCATAACCACTTATTTGTATTTTTCCATATTAAGCTTACACATATTAATAATCTACACTCTTACCAAAAAGAATAAACAAATAATGCTAAACCTTAAGTTTTAGGCTTTTAGCCTAATGCATTAAGTGGAAACTTCAAGACGAATCACATGTGTATGGTTAAAACAGCACAAGTTCTTCGGCAATCTCTTTTTTCCTGTAATATAACCCCGTGGGAAGAAGTACATACTACATATATTTATACATTTTACAGATCTATATTGATTTATTGGATAGAAACACACTTTTCTTAAATGGAAACAACGTTCAGATTGCATGATCTACAATACATTATAAATTTACAAGAGAGAAAAAAAAAAAAAAAAAAAAGGGACAAAATACAGAGTCTGATCTCCTATGTTACAAAGGATGAGATTAGATTTCGGTCTGAGTAGCGTAGTAACCTGTTGTTGTTGATTTATTCTTGTCCTTAAAGTTAGTAACGATCATGCGACATACAAGCAAGTATTAACGGCACTTTTTTGGCGCTAAAACGCAGGGACCAAGGCAGGGGACGACATCATTTCAGACCCATCGCTGATTTCTTCGTCGTCGTCGTTTTCCTCTGCTTCCCACATGAAATGAGCATACGACCCCAAAACAACGCTACAATATTATGAGCCACAATATAAATTCTTCTTTCTTCAATTTAACAATGTCAGATATTGGCGCAAAAATATATTATAGAGAGATCGGAAAAGAACAAAAAGTGATTGTTTTTCTGTCTGAAGAATAAATTTGAAAATTTGGTGAAAGCGAAATATTGATTTGAGTACCAGTCATCAGGAGAAGCAGAAACGGCCTGATCGAAGTAAGACTTTGCTCTGTCCTCGTCTCTCTGAGTCTCCCAAATTAGCTTTCCGTACATGGAAAGCAATTCCCCGTCTCCAGGATTCGCCAGTATCGCTCTTCTCAATCAATCACAGTTCGCAAATCAATCCATAAATGATCACTTCTATTTCTCAACGATCTGCATGAATGGATCAGTACTAACCTCGTGCAAGTACTTGCTGTAGTTTCTGAGGAGAAGCGCATCGCCGGGGTTCGCCTTCAACATCTCCTCGTAGAACGCCCCGAGCTTGCTCCGATCGCTGTTTCCGCCGCCGGAATTGCCAAAACTGTCATCGTCGCCGCCGCCGTCGCCCTTGCCGAAACCGCCGCCGGAGATTCCTAATTCCTCCAAAGGAATCCCGATCTCTGGCCAAGAGTTGGCGAAGCTCACCGTTCTATCGCCGCCGGGAAGGAACTCCTCCTCCGGTATCCTCGATGGAAAGGAGCGGAATCCGCCCGAAAGTTGAGTCTCCGAGAGGATCACGTCGCTCTCCGACAGCGCCCTCCGGATTCCACTGCCTCTGCGGCGGTTGACCTCGGAATGCAAGGAGAGGGTAGTCTTTTCGGCGGAGAAGACGCCGGAGAGAGAATCGCTCCGGGAGAGGCACAATCTGGGAGAACCAGAAACCGGCTGGACCTGGACCGGAACCGAGCCGGTTCGGATCAGAATGACCTTCATTTCTGAAGACAGAAGATCAAGCTTCTGTTTACATTCAGTCTTGCAATTTGCAAAGACGACTGAGAGCTTTGAAGTAGATGGAAGGGTCAAAATATATAGATGGTCTGGTCTCAAGCCATCACATCCGCTGACTGGTTGACTTCTGAACGTACTAGATGAGGACACGTGGAGGAGTGCACGTGATTGTTGCTGCGGAGAATTCAAATCCGGTGGAGTCGGCAGCTTTTGCCTCCACGCGTCACAAGAAGAGCGTGATGCTTTTACCAGGTGCTGCCACGTACAAGTTTACTGTACTTCAACGTACAATTCTTTTGTATTTTGCTATGCGAAATACAGCGTACTTACATTTGTGTATGAAGTCAGAGGATGTAGCGTAATACCACATTTATCGGGAATTTGTTCGGTGCAAGTAGGTAACTACTAGCAACTAGCAGAGAATTTAATCAATCGAATACACTCCGTTAATAAATCACAAAAAAAACTCTTAACTAAAATTTTCTTATTTTTTAGGAAAACTAATCTTTAGTATTAATTAATTTTCAATGTTCAAACATCATTACATTGATTAAAAAAAGAAAAAAAATATAAGCTGCTTTATAATATGTATATAAAAATACATAATATATGAATCTTGAAAAAAAAAAATGAACCTTAACTAAAAAAAAAAAAAAAGGAGAAAAAAAAATACCAACCTTTTTTAAAAAAAAAAAAAAAAAAAAAAACCCTTAAAAAATGCTTATAGGCATAAAATACCTTAACCCTATCAAGAGATATTAATACGTTTATTGAAATATTATTTTGTCTTTCACTAGGTGGTTCAAGTTACAAAAATTCAATCGGAAAAACTGATAATAAATATCATTTAAAGTTAATTAATAAGAGAGAAGGTACGTATAGCATTTACTGTAATTTTTGGTTTAAAAAAATTAATATTGTAAAATACTTTAGGAGAGAGAAATATGGTTATATAGATGTGATAAATAAAAAGCTTTTTAAATGTCAGACTTTTTATTTGATCGGGTGGTTTACAATAAAATAATGAGAGAGAGCTTGTGGAAAGATATTTGATTTTACTTTTTAGAGATATTTATCTATTCACACTATTAAAAATAAGATATTTTTACTTTTCAATCTAATCATGTTTTATTGGTTTTGTTTGTCGGACAGAGTAGAAGAAAAAACGAAAGAAAAACCACATCCCAAAACCAACACCGCACAAGTGAAAACGTAACAAAACTACGTCCACGTCCTGGAAGCAAAAACCACGTCCACATCCTGAAAGCAAGATAAGCTTCAAAACAGACCCCACTGTATCCACCCTCCTCCGAAACTTAGACCCATTTAGTTTATTAATTTAAAATTTAATTTAAAATGAGATGTTTTTATATGAAAATTTTTTACTCTAATAAAAAATTTAAATGTGATTATTTTTTAAAATTTTTTATTATAATAAAACTCAAATTTTAAATTTGAATCGGTAAAATGAACGAGACCTCAATAAGAATTCAAAAAATCAACTTTATGTGCTTTAGACACGAGAGTTTGAAAAAAATGTCTGAGTTTAATATAGGCTCCAGACCCCCTCCTCAAGCTTCATATATGATGCGAGACATTGATGTCTTTTATTTTGTTAAACGCGTAACAGTGTACCTCACAACTAATAAAAAGTGAATTTCATATATAAATTATATACTATGAGCATATTTCTTATTAGTACGTGATGTTGAGTATTACTGATTCTTTTAATAATATTATCAGACTCTTCTTGTAAGATAAAAAAAATGATTTTTTGACGTCTTGGCTAACCATGATACACAAAGTAATCCTTTATTATATCATCGTATCACACGAGTTGGTAGAAAAGAAATTATAACAAGCATAAATTGTTGAGAAATTCAAGTTAATTTTCTAATATTAATGTGGGTAACATATTTTTCATAAGGCTAATGAGCGTGGTCTAATTAGGAAAAGTCCATAAGACTTCTAATTGGGTATAGGTTTAATGAGTGGATATTTAAAACTGATTCAATTAGGTTTAATAAGATCTTAACATATAAGTTATGGTTCATAATACATCAAATCATTCGGCTGCTTTCTCTTTTTCCTCATCTAGACAGAAATACCACATTAAAGAACTCTTATAATTTGACTGAGTAAGACAATAACTCGTCCGCTAATCGTCATAGTAATTTTGTAAAAGTGTTGATTGTCGTTATTATAAATTCAGGTATGCTTTCTCAATTTTTCTTCGTAATTTGACATGATGGTTCTTGAGATTTATGAATATGGTGGTCAAACCCATATTTGTAATTAAAGACTAACATAAGTTTATATATCTATCATGAAGTGCAAAAGAAAATTAATACATCAAATCAATTACCAAGAAAATCTACTCATAACTTATAGAGACTCTCTCTCTATGTTTACGCTTCCTTCTCTCATCCATCTAACCAAATAAGAGAATTATTCCCTCCTCCCACCTCTCTCCCTCCTGCCAAACACAGGAGAGAGAAGGAGAATAATACGTACGTTATGTTGGCCATTTTATTGAGGAACCCAGATCAGTCATTAGCATCCCACTTTCTAAGGATATCATATCCCACCAAGTTAGGTACCTTAGTTAGTAGGACAGGTGATAATAATGTGATCCTACTTTTTATTTAATTTGAATAATTCAAATTAATTGAATTGTGCCACATGCGTCGGACCAACTATGAGCGTCCCAATTGTATCAAATACTTTAGACTCAAATTTACGGTACGAGTGAGTTTGAGTGTCTAATTCTAGAAGTATTAATAGAGCCAATAATCATAGTAAACGTACGGGATTAGCAAAACAAAAAAAAATCATAGTAAACGTACGGTTCAAATTAATACTCTAAATTCTTGTGGTTTTTATTTGATTATAATTTTCATTTAACGTGTTTGTTGTTGTTTGATTTTTTTTTTTCTTTTTTGTTCATGTTTCGCAGTACAAAAATTGATTCCTTTGAAGGTAATGAAAATCCACGTCTACAGTTAAGCTGGAATTTTATTTTTATTTTTATTGTTATTGTTATATTTTATGTGAGAAATAAGGTTTTTTTTTTTTTTTGGGTTGCCTCTTGAACATTATTTGTTTGACAATTTAATCATTAAATTTGAAATCTTTACAATTAACTCTTTAAATTTTAAAATTTGTTACATAGCACATCCAATTAATAACACTGTTAAAATTTGAACAGAATTGTCAATTGAGGGGCACGTACAAAGCTTTTTAACAATTAAAAAGACATTTAATAAGTCGTATTATAATTTAAATCATAATTCATAATTTATTATAATATTTTTTTTTCATAAAAAATATACATAAATTAAAAATAATTTTAATCTCGTCTCCTAAAATAACATTTAACAAAAGAATAATGATACTTATTAACCAAAAAGTACTAAACATTAAAAAACGCGAAAAACAAATAAAAAAGAAAATAACCCATCTTCCTGAGGAGAGAGATGCAACCCTTTACGAGGTTGAGGTAGCGATCGGCATCGTCAGCGGTGCCGTCAATGGCGAGATTGAGAACCAGATGGGAAGCGGGAGCTGAGAGGGGAATTTTGGCGGAGAGGACCTCCTCGTGGGTGATTTTAGAGGTGAGAATTCTGATTTTAGAGGTGATTTTTGGGTCAGGACGATGGGCGACGCCGGAGAAGAGGAAGAAGGGGAAAGAATGCCCTTTTTACATGCCAAGTTCGCTGATCCAGTAAAATGAGAAGAACAAATCGTTGCCAATTTTTCCCTCAAAAATTGCTTGTATAAGGATTTCAAAAAAATCTTTGAGAAAGGACAAAAAAAAAAAGCTATGGAAGAAGAGCAAATATGGTAGAGCAAATATTGAAGAATCAAAAGAAAGCAAAGCACCGGATTTAATAGAATTTGAAATTATTATATAGCAAAATGAAGAGAAGCAATTTGGTTAGAGAACTCAGTGATCTGCCAGAGATCGACGAAGTCGAAGGCCCCGATGTGTTTGAACGAGTGAAGGAAAAACAATTCATCCAGAAAAAGATTTTAAAAGCCACGAGTAAATCTTCAAAAGCAGAAGATGGATTTTGTAAATTAGTTGCATATGTCAATATGGTGGATATTTCAAATGGTGTTTTATTCCTTTGTTGCAAATTTTAACTCGGTGTTGAACATAAAGCAGATGCTGCAATGTTGAATGTCGATGGCCTGGGTTTTTTTTTTCCTTTTGTTTTATGTTTTTTTTTTTTTTTGAGTTTTTTAATAAAAAGAGTTTCCTCTTTCTTTTGTTAAATGTTAATTTGGTTTCTAAAGAGCTTACACGTGCCCCCACATGACAATTCCGTCCAAATTCTAAAGGTGTTATTAATTAGATGTGCTATGCAACAAATTCTAAAATTTAAAGAGTTGATTGTTAAGATTTTAAGTTCATAAACTTGTTCTTTTGTATTTTTAAGTTTAGATAATTTGAGTGATGATTTTAGATTGAGTTTGAGTTATAATTTGAGTTGAAGTTGTAATTTGAGTTTGTATTTAGATGTGCACATTTGAGTTATGATTTAAATTAAGAATCGTTTTGAGTTTGTGTTTAGGTGGGTCAAAACTTAAATTTATATTTAGATAGTATTTTAATAAAAACTCAATAGTGATGAAAAATTTTAATAGGGTATATGAGTGAGATTTTATTCGTCTTTTCGTTGTGAATGTATAGAAAACAAAATCATCTCAATCTGAATTAAAACGAAAAAGTTATGACATTTTTTAGAATAGAAAAAATATTGTTCATTAATTTGAGTTCGAGTTTCTGAACTCGAATTGAAGGGAAAACTTGAATTCGAGTTTAGCCTCAAACTCGAGTTCAAATTTGAGTTCAAACTCAAATTTTATAAAAAAAATATAAACTTAAATAATATTGTAACTCAAATTTAAATTTTTTTTAAATTTTGTTACAAAAGAACAACCATTAAATTGCTAAATACGTAAAGTTTAAGGGGATTCATAAAAATAAAAATAAATAAATAAAAACCTAGAAATAATGAAGAAAAATATCTTGTTGAAAAGAAGAGAGATAAGGCTTCGAACAATGACAAAAGCCATTATTAAAATAAATTATTTCAACTCGTAACTCCCTTTTGTTAACAAATGAATCAAAACTATCCCAGTTATCTTTCACTTTTTCTTTTTAAAAATGAAACTACTTATAATAAACTATTACGTTCATGATACAACTTACAATATGGGTGTGGCTTAAAGTGATGGTGAAGCAAATCCCATTTTTCCTTAAATTTTTTTCTCTGGACACATATATTGATGCATCTACAAAAACATGCACAATAATACATGGCATTCTATGCATGTCTCAAATGAATGGTGCATATATATGTTTATATAATATATAAATATATATATATATATATTTTTTCTCTCTTGCATTTATCCTCTCCTAATTCAATGACCTCCATTCTTTCCGGTTCTTTTCCTACTCTAATCTTTCCCCATACAAAATACATTGTTTCTTGCTCCTTTTGGTGAATCGGAAAGAGGGCCATAACTTACTGCACGTGAAGACGTGTCTCTATTGTTCCCTAGTCTTGATGTGCCTCTTGCGATCTCAGGTGGGGATTTTTCTTCTAGTGTCATATAAAGCAAAGATACGACTCCCATGCCCTATTGTCTCAAACCTTCTGATCTCCGATTATTAAAATTATGTGACGTCAATTAAAATTTTATATCAATCAGAATATCATTTCATGTCAAATCCTCTACGATAAAATATTTCATTAATTAATGAATTATGGTATTATTGTGGACACATGAAATAATACATGAAGAAAAGAAGATAAAAAAAAAAAAAAAGCATTCTTTACTGTGAGCTTTAAAAAAATTTCACTGATGAAACCTCACTTTTAACCGTTAGATTAATTTTTCAACCGTTAAATTTGCAGCATGAACAATTTTTGTGGCACACTATAAATTTTTAATATAGATATGTATAAATTTAACCATTAAAAAATTAATCTAACGATTAAAAGTGAATTTTATTGTGGATTTTTTTTTTTTTTAAGTTTCACCGTAGAAGTTGTCAAAAAAAAGAAAAGCCCATCAATTGCTCAATTTTTACATTCCAGTACATATTCTTCTACTTTTAAATCATTAAAAGAGAATTGTTTGGTAGGGTATTGAAAAAAGAGTTGTTATTTGGTAGGATATCATTTTTAATTGGCGGATCTTTATATTATCGTACTTTATTTAATTTAATATGACTAATTTGAAAAACGATCATGCGATTTAAACGACTAAAAATTATGTTAATATTAATAGAGTATTTTTTTTTTTGACATTTTACCATTGAAATCTTCAAAAAGGTTTAATTATCTGCGGATTACATTAATACCAATTAGACTAAAAAAAATGTGATAACGAAACTCGATAAAATGGTTACAAACAGTGTCCTTCTAATAGGTTCATGCTCTGGCAATGAATTCTCCTCGTATAAATAGTTCGTGTAAATTGTAATATTGACGCAACCAGTTTACAACTTGAGCACAATTTTATGGGGGAAAAAATAATACGGTTTTATTAATTTATCAATGTTTTTTTTTTTTTTTTTTTTTTTTTTTTTTTTTTTTGCGGAGAATATCCACAAGGAGGAAAGTACAAACCATCAAAGTACTCGTTAGGTGTCATAAATGAATAGGATTAATTCTAATAATGGTCCTTAAGCTTCACGCCAAATGAAATTTTGGCTCTTGACATTTAAAACATATAGCTAAACTGATTTCAATCTATCTTGTCGTAACAAATTTAGTTATTCTACCTTAAAATCTAAATAGAATAGACCATCTTCAACTCATATGCCATTTAAATGGGAGTAAAATGGATGGGTAATTTTAGAGCCCGTTCGGTTCGTTAATTTAAGTTTTTAATTTGAGTTGAGATGTGATGTTGTGTGAGAACTTTTTACTGTAACAAAAAAGTTAAATGTAACTGTTTCTGATAACTTTTTACTGTAGCAAAACTCGAATTCTAAACTCGGATCAGCGAAAAGAACGGATGTGTTCATACGTTATTTCTTGGTACATTTTGTATAATTTTTCATCCCCATTATCTAATAGTATTTAACCAATTATATTATGGGGTTGTTCTTTTACAATAAAATTTAGAAAAAATTTAAACTCAAGTTACAATTTTATTCAAGTTCACGTTATTTTTGGTTCCAATTTTATTTAACTTTACTCAATTTTATTCAAGTTACAACTTTAACTCAAGTTATAACTCAAATTCAACTCAAAAACTACACTCAAATCACACTCTAAAAGAACAACCCCATGTCATTTATTTAATGGACTCTGATAAGAACAAACACATATTAATTAAAAAAGTATTTTAAAATTTTTAACATAAGATGATATAATTTGATTAATTAGACGAGTGATTAATTAGACGACTGTTAGAATTGAACACACACGTACACATTAGTTTAATCCACCTTTCTCATGGTATCAAGCTAAAAAAAAGCCCCTTTTTCCATGGTGTATGAACACGGAACGCCTTATGCTTTTAGTAAAATGGCAAAAGTATGTCTTCAACATCATATCACTTTTTGTAAAATGGCAAAAGTATGTCTTCAACGTCATATCAACTTTCTCCAAATATACTGGTCACTGAAGACAAAATGGTTTATCATAATATGGTAATCATCAAGTTAACCTCATGTGTATTGGAATTTGCTACCAAGGGGGAGGAAAATAACTGTTGCTTTCAACACTCTCTTTCTCTCTTAAATAAAAAATAAAAAATAATAAAAAATAATAAAAAATAAAAATAAGAAGTTGATTACAGCTCTAAATTTCCGTGGGCAGAAACAAAATATCTAGTGTGGATAAGTCATAACGGATCATATTCTTTAATCAAGAGATAACATTGTCTAAATTGTGATAATGATGTGCCAAAAAAAAATAAAAAAAAGAGACCATGATAATGATGTATTGATGTGGGCGTGCTTTAGCGTCTCCTATTCCCCTCTTGTCTTCGCAGGCTTTTGTTGAATTTTTGGCGTTACCCATTCCACCAAATCCAATCATTAAAGTATACTTTCTACCTCACTTTTTTTTTTTTTTTTTTTTTTTTTTTTTTTTTTTTTTTTTTTTGTAATCTACTGCGTCCATCATTTGTAATTGAAATTAGTTCTAATCCTTAATCTTTAGTGGGGGATAAGTTCTGAATTTTAAAGAAATAAAAGAGAGAGGATGTAAATTATCATGAAAATCAAAAAGTGGAAATCTTAATCCCGATTCTGTGTGTTGAGATGGTCCACAAGATTTCGGTGTTTCACCATTGCGACTTGCGGGTGCCAAAGTACAAATTCTCAAGCAATATTAGAGACAACAGGACTGAGCACTATATATTAATAAAAGATGAATTCTACATGCAAACCCATAAAATAGAAGTCACCTTTGCTCAGCAACGGTGGTGTGCTAATTATTATTATTATTATTATTATTATTTTGGCAAATTCTCAGGAAAGAAGACGTTCCACTTTGGCTTTTTGAAAAGAAGAAAAAGTTTAGCATTATAAATCAATCAATTAACATTATTAAGGATGAATTGATAATTGTAGGATCAAAACGGCTAGTAATTAAAGAAGAAAAGGAATGGCCATTATGCAAACTACCCAAAACAGAATGCCAGTGAAAAACTTGCCAGACAACCAACCTAGGCCTCAAATTTTATCTTCTACTTTTTTTGCCCCCTCCTTTGCCTGAAGGATTCAAATTCAGCTTAAAACCTCATGGAAATGATGAAGATAACCAAAAAATTGAAAATCACTCAACTAAAAGGTTTATTTGAATAAAAACCGTCTTCTTCCAAGGTCTTCAATAATATCCAACCATTCATAAAAATGAATAAGTGTATAATAGTGGTGAAACTTCAGGCAGCGGGCATGCCCGATACCCGAAAATTTTCGGGCACGGCGGGCAGGTGCCATTCGCCGCCCGTCCGGGTATTTTGGTCGGGCACGGGCTCGGGCAGCCCGAAAAAAATTCATTCTGACTACCCGCCGCCGGTGGAGAAGTTGAAATCGCCACCCGCCGGATTATTTTTTTTAAAATTTTCCCGCGTAACCCAAATTTTGCCCGAATTTTTTTGACCGTTAGCCCAAACTTTACCCGGTGCCCGAATATGCCTGAAAATTTTTGACCGTTAGCCCAAATTGCTGCATGAATTTGAACCCAACAGATCTTTTTCACCCGACCCGACCGCCGCCTGAATTTTGCCCGAAATTTCAAACCCCAACGGCTATTTTTTTGACCGTTGCCCGAATTACCCGATACCCGACTGATAAGTGCACAAATTTACACTTTTAATGTTCATAATTGTCAAATTATTTTATCAAAATTTGTGATTTTAATTTCAAATATTCCTGAATTTAGAGGATTTAATTTTAATTAGATTTTTCAGGTTTTTGAAGAAAACAATTGAATTTGGACTAATTTACCAAGCAAAACCCAAAACTTGAGCCTAAGAAAAGCCCAATTCAGCCCAAAGCCCATCAGCCCATCGTCCAACCGAGCCAAGCCGAGCCGAGAAGCCGCGAGCCCATCCCAGCTGCCACGTGTCGACCACTACCGCACCGCAGATCCGTGGGACCCAGCTGTCCCTTAGCAAATGCGCGCCTGGTGCGCACGGATCCTCTCCCTGGGCGAGTCTCCTCCACGCATGCGTCACCCGGATCTCCTTTCCTCTCCGCGTGGGCCCCACGTTCCAGCGTCCCTCCAGCCAGATCTCGCCACGCGTCCAGTGGGGTCCAGCTGCTCCCTCGCATACGCGCGCTTTGTGCGCACGTTCCCTCCCCGCGCGAGTTCTTCTCCCGCGCGCGTCCAGTCGTCCTCCGCGTGTGTCCAGCTGTGCACCACGTCTTCTCCCGCGCACGAATCAACTCACGACACGTGTCCCACTCTTTAGCCAGATGCGTTTATGATAGTTTTTCTCCCCCGTTTAAGCCTTGTGATGGTTTTTTCTTAGCATTTTAAAAACTCTATAAATAGGATCATTGTTAAGGTGATTGGGGGTTAATTTTTAGGAGTCTAAATTCTCACACATTTTCTATTATTTTCTTGTTCTTATTCTCATACTTTCTTTTTAGAATTTTATGGGAATTATGTGCAAGCTAGGCTAGAGTATTTAGGTGAGGCTAGAGATGATCCTATATGTGTAGTGAACTTATTTGGATTTTTGATTCTCCAATGGTTTGTAAGTTTTATACATTTGAGTAAATAATTTTCTTTTATCATATTTCTTCTTCTTATCATTATATTTTATTGTCAACTTTTATATAAATCTAGTCAAGCTCTTTTTATGTGATTGTTGCATTATATTATATATTGATAGGTATTATTTTATGAGTAGTCTTTTACTGCAATATTGCCAACGGTATATTGTCGCTCTTAGATTTCTCATAAGATAATTTTTCCTAATTCTAAACGTTAGAATTTTATTTACTCGAATACATTTTTAATTCATATGTTCTTCAAATATTTATTTTCCGATTGATTGTTTGGGATGTGAAACTTTCAATTGAGTCAATTTATGAATCAAAATCCAATTAGGTGAACAAAGCATATGGAGGATTCTCAAAGCTTTACCACTTTTTATTATTGAATTTTCTCCATTTTAAATTGTTCAAAAAATCATCAAAAACACTCATTCATTTTCTTTGTTTGATTGCTTACTTTCCTAACGCTTTTTATTTGCTAGTCATTTCTTGTTCAATTTAACACCTCCTCTTGGATCGACCGTTCAAATTGTACTACAATTGACTGCTTATTTTTGTACACGTTTGGGTGTAATCAAATTTTGGCGCCGTTGCCGGGGAGGTGCGTCAACAAGATTGTTCAGTAGATAATTAGCCAAAGAGGTAGGTACTATTCATCTTTTATTTATTTTTTTTTGTTTGGCATGACGTTTCTTAAAAAAAAAAAATTTTGCTGTGTTGTTTTAGCCTGTAGTCAATTTTCATTTTCCCGGTTGTTTGTTAAGTTTTCTCTATTACTTTGTTAGGCTTTCTTTCCATTTATTTTTGCTTGGCACGTTTCAAAAAAAAAAAAAAAAAAAAAACAAAAAACTTTTAGTCTCCGTGACTTGATTGTTAGTATATATATATTTATATATATATAAAAAAAAGGGGCTTCTCGGTTGGCTGCCGTGTCCTTATTAAAGTAATTCATATTTGTAATTGTGGCCTTATTTAATTTTTCCTTTTATAGTTTCTTAACTCTTAGGATTATAACTAGGATTGTAATTAATTGACTAATTTAGATTCCTAATCTAGGATTTTCATAATTTGGTAGATTTAGGTTTTTGACTTTAGGAATAGTTTCCATTAATTAGATTACATTTCATAATTTACTCAATAAAATTTAATAATTAATTTTGAGAATAATTGTGTGGTTACGTGGAAAGTATAATCTGAGGGAGTTCTGTCTAGGAAAGTTGGTAGTTAAGCGGGCCTCGCCCCACCAATTTTTTCTGGGAACGTTGCTCTGTCTAGGAGACTATTCATTGAGCCAAGAGCTATAGTCTTTCCTGGGAGCACTCTCGGTGGTTGCAATTTACGTTACTATATAATTCTTTTTTTTGATTAAAAATAAAAAAAAATTAAAAAATTAAAAATAAAAATAATAAAAATAATAAAAATAAAAATAAAAATAACAAAAAAAATTTTAAAAAAATAAAAAAGTGAAACGTAGGGTGAATAAATTGTTATAGAGACAAATTAAGGAGATTCGCAGTAAGACCGGAGAACCCTAGTGAAGTTTCTTCCCACACGTCTAGTCCTCCCTCGACCCCAGCCTCATTAGCAGTTGCAAATCCGTTCGCAATGGCTCAAAACGAGGAGGTCTAGCAGAAGATGTTGAACGATTATCTCCACCCTACGTATACGGCCACACCATCATGCATAATGTTTCCCCCAAATATGCCGAATTTGGATTTCAAGCCAGGCATGATCCAACTACTGCCGACCTTTCACGGGTTAGAGAGCGAGAATCCATACGTTAATATTAGGGAGTTTGAAGAAGTAGTGGCCACTTTTCACAACCGAGCTGAAATCGTGGACTCTGTGCGATTGAAATTCTTTCCTTTCTCTTTGAAGGAAAAGGCTAAAAGCTGGTTGTATTCTCTGCGACCTAGGTCTATTGGAAGTTGGAAAGAAATGACGACATCATTTTTTAACAAGTATTTCCCTCACCATAAGACCAATGGTCTGAAAAGACAGATCTCGACCTTTACCCAAAAGGACAATGAAACTTTGTATCGAGTTTGGGAACGGTTCAAGGATCTGTTAAATCAGTGTCCCCACCATGGTTACGAGAGTTGGCGCCTCGTCAGTTATTTCTACGAAGGACTCACGATTCGAGAGCACCAATTTGTGGAGATGATGTGCAATGGTGAATTTCTCCAAAAGGATCCCGAGGAGGCTTTTGAATATCTCAACGAGTTAGTTGAAAAAGCCCACACTTGGACCGGACCTAATGCTACTGATAGCACCAATAGGTCTCGACCGGTTGGAATCTATCAATTAAGGGAGGAGGACAACCTCAAAGCCCAAGTCAAATCTTTGACAAGGCAAATCGAGACCCTCAAAGGCAAAGAAGGTAAAGGAATCCACACGGTCGCAAGGGCAGAGACACATGAGCCATGCTTTGTCTGTGGTGGGGTGGAACATCTAGCTAAGGATTGTCCTGCTTATGGTGAAATGAGAGGGGTTTATGAGGAGCAATGCAATGCCTTAGGGGCATACAACAAACCTTTCTCTAACACATACAATCCTGGCTGGAGGAACCATCCAAACTTCAGTTGGAGAGATTCTAACCAAGCACAACCATCAGGAGGACAATGGAGAACTGAGCAACAGCCGCAACCACCAAAGGCGTATTCTGCACCTCAATACAATTCGCATCAGCCAAGGAGTTCTCTTGAGAACACCTTGTAATCTTTCATGGAGGTGCATAGTAATAATGATATATTTCACCAACGTTGTGTATGCCATATAATTAATTTAATAGTAAAATCCGGTTTAAAATCAATGTCAGGTCATATTAAAAGAATTAGAGATAACATTGCTTGGATTCAAGATAGTAATCAAAGAATACAAAATTGGTTTAGATTTCTACAAGCATGTAATCAAAATCCTAGAGCATTAGCCTTAGATATGCCCATAAGATGGAACTCTACTTATATAATGCTTGAACAATGCATTCCCTATAAAGATGCTATAACAAATTATGTTATGCAAAATTAGGAGCAGGATTTATAGATGAAACTGATTGGCAAATTGCCGAACTCTTGTTTAACTTCTTAGGTAGATTTCACGAAGTTACTTTAACACTTAGTGGAACTTATTACCTAACGTCACCATTAGCGTTAGGAGAACTTTTAAGAATGTCTATTTTATTTAGTGAATTTAGGACACACGAGGTTTTAGGAGTTCCTATCGCCTCTATCGAAAAGAAGTTTAAAAAATATTGGTCTAAATTACCAATATTGTATGGTTTCGGTGTTATTTTCGACCTTAGATTAAAATTAGATGGTTTAGAAAGTGGATTAGATAACTTAGGTGACTTTTTAGCTATCGACACACTGACCAATTTCCTATTATAAAGGAAAAAATATTTTCTCTCTATAGCTCTTATGAAAGTAGGTGTAGAAACATACCTCGTGTAGTAGAACCGCAACAACGAGATGACAATCCGTATTCATTCTTGAATGATTTTGGGTTGTCTAAGAAGAAGAAGAAGACGACGGTGACGACGACTTAAGGTTAAGAAGAATTTGGGAGTAGATCTTCATCAAGAGGTGGCGGCGGCTTTAACGAGTTAATGGCGTACCTGAGTGAGGGCTTAGTTGTAGACAATAGTGAAATGTTTGATTTGGTTCAGTGGTGGAGGGCACGAGCATTAACTTGGCCGATCCTAACACGACTAACAATGGATATTTTTTTTATCACAGTCTCCACTGTTGCAGCCAAACAAGCATTCAGTATAACCAGCCAAATACTTAAAGAATGGAGAAACGCATTGCAACAGAATATTGTTAAAGCTTTGGTGGGCATCAAGGATAGGGATCGTTCTGACCAACGCTTACACGATACAATCTCACCGGCAAGCCAAGAATGGATCCACGAATTTAATAGATTAACTTTTAATTTTCAAGACGATCCTTCTACTTCAAATTAAATTTTATTATTGTAATTTGTAAATATTTATTTACTTTGTAATTTGTATAGTGTTATTGTAATCTTGTATAGACTTTGTAAGTTTGTCAAATTTGTAATTCGTCTCACAATGATTGCACCATTTTTTCCTTACCAAGTTTTTATCCCAATTGGGTTTTTCTTGATAAGGTTTTTAACGAGGCAATCATGAATTATAAATTTAAAAATTAATAAAGAAATAATTTTTTTTTATATAGTTCGTATGTTCATTTCAAATTTCAAATTGTAATATATACGTATATATATATATTATAAAAAATATTACAAAATTCAGACATTTTCGGTTGAGCAACGGGCAGCCAAAGGCTGCCCGAAGCCCATCTAAGGTGAAATTCGGGTCAGGTCGGGCTGCCTAAAAATTCGGGCAATTTAGGCTCGGTAATCAGGTAAAAATTTAGACTTTTCAATTGTCCCGGGTGGCCCGTCTAAAGTTTCAAAACTAGTGTATAACATGTCAATTTCTCTTTGAATGAGCCACAAAAACACATGCAAGAGCATGAAAAAAATGAGTTTGAATCAAAGGGCGCGTTTGTTTCTAGTTTTGACAACGTTTTTCATGTTTTTCGAGGAGAAAAAATTGAAACGAGAAAGAAAATCACGTTTGGGGATGTACCATACCAAAATCAAAACAAAAATATTTTTGGATTTTTCTCAAAAACTTCAACTTTTCTGAAAACGGATTAAATCCGTTTTGATTTTTTTCCCTTTTCATTTTCTCCAACCGTTCTTCTCTGCCTCTTGCCATTCTCTTCTCCGCCTTTTGCCATTATCTTCTCCGCCTCTCACCATTCTCTTCTCTTATATATTTCTTCGCGATAGGCTTTTAGCTAGAATCGCTGGTCATGGGATCCGCCTTCTTCTCCGGTTGATTCTCCGGTCTCAGACTTTGCTCTACCGCTACTCCCCTAAATCAACCGAGGTATGCCCATTAATCTGATTTGTTGATGATTTTTTCAAGTATTGCTGGTTTTGCTGAAGGATCTGGGAGTTTTTTTTCTGGTATTTGTTCTGATTTGCCTGCTTTCGGGTTTTTGGGAGTTTAGGTTGGTATTTGTTCTGATTTGGTGAAGATTATTTCGAGTATTGCCGGTTTTGCTTAAGGATCTGGGAGTTTTTTTTCTTGGTATTTGTTGTGATTTGCCTGTTCTCGGGATATTTTTGGGTGTTTAGGTTGATATTTTTTTTATTTGCCGATGAGTTGATGGAGTATTGCATGATGATCTGGGTTTTTTTTTTCTGATATTTGTTCTGATTTGGTGAAGATTTTTTTGAGTATTTTCGATATTTACTGATGATCTGGGTGTTTTTTTTTTTTGCTAATTTTTATCATGATTTGTTGTTCTCTGGTGTTTTTGGATGTTTAGATGATTTTTTACTATTCTCGGCAATCCTGATCTATGTGATATTTGTTGTTTACCATAAGGGTATGTATGGGTTTTTTTTGTCTTGATTTGTTGTTCACAGGTATGAACTGATATATGGATTTCTCAGATTGACTGATTTCTGGGTATGGACTGACTTTTGGGTTTTTTTGGGTGATATTTGCTATTCTCAGATTTGTGGGATTGAAGATATATATTCAAAGTGTATGGTTGCTGTGAAACTAAAAATATGCAAAAAATTCAACCGATTGCAATTAAGGATTTTTATGCAAAAACTCAACGAGCTGATATTCAAACGGTAGGGTGAACATTACTGCTTGTATATAGACTAGGATTTCATTTAATTTTAAATGGAACTGTTCTTTTAGATGTGTGATAAGGATGATAATACAACATGACCTGCTGCAATTGAGGATTTTTATGTAGAACTGATATATGAGGAGGCAAAGAATGGTTTGCATACATCCACATTGGACAAAAACACGTGGATGAAAATTGATAATGCAATAGCACGTAAGTTTGGTAAGCATTTCACATTAGACCAGTTTAAAGCAAAATGGAATAGGTTTAGACGTAGTACGAGGGAGTTTCAGGCTTTGATTGAAATAATCGAGTTTGGTTGGGATTATGAGGCTAACACTGTCACGGCTGAAAAAGAAGTGTGAGATTCGTATGTGGCGGTAAGTTTTGATCATAACCATCTTATGTGATATGGAAGAATTAATTAGTGTTTTGGATTGCACATGAGTATTTGTTATTGTTTTATTTTTAATGTCAGAAACATCTTGATGTTAAGAAATTCAAGAAAGGAGGTTTACACAACTTTGCCCAACTTTCAAAGATTTTTGTTGGGACTATCGCTACTAGACAGGGGTCAATAAATGCACATACGGCCGTTAATGTTTTGAATGCGGCGAAAAGGGCTGTCGCGCAACCTAAAGAGCAAGATGAGGGTACAGAGGACTCGGATGAAGTCCGGGATTCAAAAGCCAATAGAAGCAGACGGTCTCAAGGTCCTCTTACTCGATCCAATAAGAAGGGCAAGATGAAAGCTGCAGTTGATGAGGCTACAGAGGCTTTGGCAAAGAGTGCTACCCTACGCAGTGACACATCTGTTCAAAAAGGTAATTTGTTTTAGCAATATTTAGCTAATAGGCAAGCCTGTACTATGACAGTAGCCGAGGCTCAGATAGAGGATCCTACTACAAGTATCGAAACCTGTATGGATTTGCTGAATGGGTATGAGGAGTACTTAGTCGACGATGCGTATAATAAGGCAGCAGAGAAGTTGGCTATTGGCATTTCCTTTAGAAGGATGTTTTGTGAAAATGCAGCCTCATTGTCATCTTTCATAGATTCGAAGCCTATAAGTTAGATTATTTTTATTTATGATGTTTTCTTTATTTTTTCCTCTCAGACATGTGTTTTTTTTAAGTATTGTTGAACATACTGCCTGAACTACCTCTCAGACTTGTGTTAACGACTTTGTTATTTGTTTGATTGGTAATGTTATATGGATGTTTGATTAGTTCTAGTCATGTTCTTTTTTTGGTTAATATGGATTCTGATACCACAAATAGTGAGGATAATGTCACAATTGTGGACTTTCTTAACTCATCAGATGATGATGAAGAGGCAAACATTTTTGTCCAATTGTTGATGTCACTTACAAACAGACTTAATAGGCAACCTCGTCATAATTCTGCGTTAACAGGACGAGAATATGCTTTAGAACAATTGTATGGGCATCCTGAAAATATGTTCGAAATATGTTGTATGCACCGAGATACATTCGAAGCAATTGTAAGGTTAATTCAAGATCGCAACCTACTGCCTTCTTTAAGTATATCAACAGAAGAATCACTAATGATGTTCTTAAGAACAATTGCTCTCTCAGACCGTAATAGAGAGATACAAGATAGATTTGTTCATTCTGGAGAGACAGTACACCGGTATTTTGTTAATGTGCTTACCGCATTGTCTGCGTTAGCACCTGACGTTATAAAACCACCAAATATGAACATCGTCCCCCCAAAGATTCGATACAACCCTAAGTACTAACCATGGTTTAAGGTACAATCTGACTCTGCTCATAAACTAATAATATGACAAATAATTTTAAATTAATCCTAACTCACGCCTTATGCATTTTAATAAGATTGTATTGGTGCAATAGACGGTACACACATAATGGTTGTCCCACTTGCACATCAACAGACAGTCTATAGAGGAAGAAGACATTTGTGTACTCAAAATATAATGACAACGTGTAGTTTCGATATGTTATTCACTTATGTCAATATCGAATGGGACGGATCAGCTGCTGATTCTAAAGTGTTAACTGCGACTATGATAGATCCACAGAACCAATGCTTGGTGCCACCCCACCCAAAATATTACGTTGTGGATTCTGGTTACAGCAACACGCGAGACTTTTTAGCACCATTTCGTGGTCAAAGGTACCATATTCAATAGTTTAGAAACGGTGGCCAACCAATGAGACCACAAGAGTTATTCAATTATTATTACTATTAACTGCGTAATTGCATAGAGATATGCTTTGGTGTCTTGAAAGCAAGGTTTTAAAATTCTTAAACTTACGACCAATTATTGGATGCCAAGGCAATCACTTATACCAATTGCATGTTGTGTGATCCACAATTTAATTAAGATGTACGCGCGAGATGATCCTCTATTTAAACAATATGATGTCGATTTGCCCTTAGAAAATATCGAGGGAGAACAAGAAAGGCAACAAGGACAACAACAAAGTATGGACACACAAGAAGCAAAAACATCCAAAATGGATAGTTAGCGACAACGCAATCACATGATTAATTTAAGAACCATCTAGCTAATCAAATGTAAAATTCGTATGTACAGCAATAATATAAGCTATGATTATTCACTAAGTAAACTTTTTTTTTTTTACTAATCATTCACTAAGTTATTTTATTTTAAATTATTTACTATTTATTTGTAATGTAATTTAAATTATTATATTAATTATTAGCGTTTCTATTTAAGATTCAATTATTAATTATTTAATATATTATTATTTCAAATACTATTACATGTTTTTAAAAATAAAACTACCAAACGCAGTTTTAATTTTTTTAGATTGACACCAATTTCTGAAAAAAAAATACCAAACGCATTTTCAGAAATGATTCCTGCCTGAAAATGAAAACGTTTTCATTTCCATTTTCATACAAAAAATAAAATCATTTTAGAACGAGTTCCAAACGCGTCCAAAGAATTTTTCTCATTCAAGCAGGACAAATTATCATTCTACTTTTTCCCCCTTATCTCTTCTGAACTAATTATCTTGAATCAAATTATAGTCAACCCCTACCTAATTACATATCCAACGTCTAACAAAAATTCCTTTCAGAAACTTTATTATTCTATTGCTATACATACAATATGGAACAAAAATTCAGACAAAACCCAATAAGGAAAGAGTATAATCAGATTAAACTTTAAAGACACTCTTCAAGCTTCTTCCCAACATAATAAAGAAGCTGACCAAGGAGATTGAGAATCCGTCTAATCTCGATGAGTTAATACTGTGATCTGCAAACATTATCGACGAGTTGTCATTGACAAAGAAAACGAAGTTCAAACAGCCGGAAGAGGGAGACAGCAAAGTCCAAATCCAGCAGATCAAAATGGAAGCTTCTATAAGAGTTCACAAAGCCGTGCTTCTTTATTAATATTCCATTTTTTACATTGTTCTTCCATTCCATGTTTTCCTAATTTCAGAGAGAAATTAGCATTATAGAAGTTACAAAGATCCTAACGCAACATAGAAAAGAATATTCACGCGTTAAAATGCAGGTATTGACAACAGCGAATGGAAGAAACAACCAACCTTTGGAAAACCAAGTCTACTGATCCTTCTTCTGCTTGGAAGTAGAAGTCGATGATCGAAGATCTTGGCTGGAAGTCCTAATTATGAAAAGAAATGTTTCTATGAGCATGCCACCTATCAATCCAAGAATTCCACCAGCTGCATTCTGGAAACAAGCATTGACGATCACAGAATTGAATGACAGAAGAAGAACAATAGAAAACATCATGACAAAAACTATTATCTACATTCTACAGGTTACATTATCCATAAAACAGAATAAATAAATAAATAAACAAATTGATCAGTCTTTCTGAAGGTACCATAGCAGGACTGTGGTTAAATAATGCTCTGAATGCAGCATAACCAACCAAATAGCCAGTGAACATCGTCAGCGCAACATGTAAACCTGTAGAAGTTCATTATTATTTATAACTTGGATCCAAAATCATAATCAGAAAGCAAAAATTCTTATTTATACATACATATATATATATATATATATATATATATAAACTAACTAGATAAATAGAAGACACGGTTCCTAAAAAAATTCACTAGGCATGTAATTTGGGAGCACACGTCCAGCTCATTTCTTCACAAATTGTTAAAGCAAAAATAGGAAGTTTACAATCCATCCATTTTCACTAATTTTACAAGAATGTTACAGAAAAACTCTTCATTTAGGAGCCTCGCTAAGACTGAAGTCTTAGCTTGTTACCAAGTTTGAGCCTTTCTATGCTAACCAAATACGATGCTAAACTGAAAAGTTATAAAACGAGAAAGCAAATGCCATACTCGTACTGCAGCGACAATAAAACAATTTAATTCAACAGTGCATCAATAATGCAAGCCGAAACCTTCAACAAAGCTTGTTCTTATATTACATGTTCTCAGTCTTTCACTTGGTCCCAAAATTCTTACACGTACTCTCTAGAAATACACAACTCCACATACCCGAATAATTTCTAAAATTTCCATTTGGTTTTGGTGTCTCCTATCCGAAACAGGTTAATGCTAGGACATGCACAGAGATGAAAGCTTGAAACACTAAAATGTATGTCATCCCACAAAGGTTCGCAAAATCTATTGCTAAGACTTAAGGTTAAAGAGGTTGAACTCATTCTTTCCCTATACACTAAATGTGCCTTTACCAAACTGAAAAGGTAGAGGGATTAGAAAGTAAAATAAAGTAATACGAATAAGGATCATCAATTCCTTTTTCAGTGTTTACTTGTCTTTCAGATGGAGTAATGGGAAACAATCTAATTCGTTTTCACGTGTTCACAATACTTATAAATGAATATTATCCATGTAACTACAGCTTATAACATGTGAAATTAAGTGTACATAAGCAAATTTGACATTTATTCCCTTTAACCATGATTCAATACCAAGAGGGCTGCAAAGTCTGACATTCATTTTCCTCATTTCCTATATTATGTTAGGCCGAAAACTCCCCATTACTGATTTTGTTAGTAAATACATGATTTGATAGGTTCCGTTTGTAAACGCGCCACAAGTAAATATAATGTACCAAATTTGCTAAACCGAAAGAACTAAGCAAGTCATTGTTGTCCACTAATAGATGAAATTCTCTGCAAACCCGAGATCATTGAAATAATACAGTGGATTTTTCACTTGGATAGCTTGGATTGCAAATCTAAAACCAAAAACGTCATAAAGGCCATACTGTGAATGAACAGAGCAACTCACCAAATCCCAACTGATCTTTGTAAGAAGAGAAAGGCTCGGAGTTGTCCTTCTTAGGCATAATGTCCTTCACCAGCTCTGCGTACGCTTTCCTCTCCGCCATTTCAGCTAGCTTCCTCAGCCTTGCCTTCAACTCCTCGCTCTAAAACCCAAAACCCACATCAAAAAAACAAATCTTTTTCTCCAAAAGGGTTTAACTTTTGCTCCATCCCCAAATCATGAAACCAAATTGGGAACAAAAACAAAGCAATTGGGAGTGAAATTTTGACGTACCTTTTCTCTGGGTTTGGGGCTAGGGAGGACGAACTCCGATCCCGACAAGAGTTGTATCAAGGTGGGTCGGGAAGCCGGGTCGGAAGCTGACCAGAGAATCCGAAGGGACTTGTACGGAACGCTGGGTTTTGAAGAGAGATCGGAGGCGATTTCTCGAAGCTCCTGAGAGAGGGATTGGTCTTTGGAGGCTGATGCGAGGAACGACAAAATGGGTTTTGTCGGCGATATAACGAGGCCAGGTGGTTTGTTCGTCGCCCCATCGGTTGTTGACATTTTCGGTTTGGGATGGGTGAGGAAGGAGAGTCGTCGGCGCCGGTGACGGAGGAAATGGAAGATAACGGGATGAGTGATATCTAGGCTTGATTGGCGGAGGGGGAGGTCGTGGGGGTCGTCACGTACGATGTGGTGAGTCGCCGAAGGGGGGTCGCCGAATGGACGGGTTGCGACCTGCGACGTGGTGGGTTTCGCCGGAAAAAGAAGGGAGGGATTGTCAGTTTCTTGTCCAAGATTTTTTTTTTTAATTTTTTTTTCCTAATCAAAGTCTTTTTGTTGAGAAAATTTGATAAAAGAGACCGGAGAAAATCAGAATTTGAGGAAATAGACAAGTTTTTTTTTATAACAAAAAAATGATTACGTATATCTTATGTGGCAAAAAATTAGTCCTATTAGTCCTAGGTCATTTTAAAAAATCTCATTCCTCACAAAATCGATCGCCGCTCGACCCTCTCTTCCCCCCGAAACCGACCGCTCGACCCTCTCTCCCCCGACTGAGCTCTTTCACGACCGACCACCGGTTTTTCTCTCCGATCACCTCTCGCCGACTGCCGGCTTTTCTCTCCGATCAGTCACTAACCTCACGACCGACCGCCGGCTTTCCTCTCACCTATTTCTCTCTCTCTCTCCGATCCACTCTCCGATCTCTCTCGTCTCGGCCGACCGACCACTCACCAAACACCGACCGTTCATCAAAAACCGACTCCCTTCCCACTAAAACTGACCAAAAACCGACCCCGACCACTCACCAAATTCCCGACCATAAAAACCGACCACCTGCTCACCAAAATCCGACTAAAATGGCATCAAAAACCAGCTCTTCTTCCTCAACTAAAACGGTCATTTCTCGAACAGTTGTCGACGAGGCAACGGAATCTGCTGAGGTAATATTCTTGTTTTACTTTTTCTTATATATTTTTGCAAGAACAAAAACTTAATATAAGCAACATTGGTCTGGTCATAGTCGGTTCTTAGTCGGTTTTGGTTCTGGTCTGTTCTCAGTCGATTCTAGGTCGGTTTTAACTCGTTTCTAGTGGTCGGTTCTTGTCGAGAGGGGTCGATTCTGGTCGGTTCTTGGTGAGGTCGGTTCTTGGTCGGTTGGTGGTCGGTTCTTGATCGGTTTAGGTCGGTTTTGGTCGGTTCTGTCCGTTTAGTCAGTTCTGCGGGGATTTTGGGTCGGGTTATGGTCGGTTCAATCGGTTCTTGTTGGTTTCTCTGTCTATTCGGGTCAGTTCTGTCGTTTTGGTCGGTTCTAACCGGTGTGTTTTTTCTTCTTTTTCAGTATGACCTCCCAAAGTACAACACAGGTGAATTTTTTGGGATCGGACATCTAAAGATGATCATGGATCCTGTGCGGCAGTATTTCCCAGTGAAAGTGACTATGAAGTCAAAGATCGAGGCTTTGGAGGTAATCAGGCAGAATCTAGACCCCGAAACAGAAATGCCAATTGATACACGACATTATTGCAATATGTTTATTATTGGCATTGCATTGCATTTATAATTTATCATATTCAACAGGTTATTTTGGCTCTGGGGAAGCTTATATTTATGGGGAAATGCTGCCCAAATATTTACACAATAATGTATGTTTTTTTTTTTATTTGAAAACTTCAAATCAGTCTTGAAGATTGCAAAATGCGTGTTTCATTGTAAAATTACGGGTTTTATCGGGGGGGCACTAGTACACTCTAGGGGTTGCGGGCGGGTGGAAAGGGGGGCACGGGCGCGCGGGAGAGGGGGGCAAAGGCGCGCGGGG